CGACAGGGGGACGGTCTAGGTTTGTTCCACCTAAGCTGGGCATTCAGTCCTTCAGTTCCATGGGCTTTCAGGTTTCACTATTGGTCTCCTCATTTAGGGTAGACCTGGATTCCACTTCTTTCTCCCTTGCTCTGCGAGACCTCAACAAAAAGCGGGAGTTCAACCATTCAGAAGGCGCCCTCAGGGCAAAAGTGATTTCAATTCTACTTATCTCTCTGGTTTCTACTTTGACTTAAATTATGACTCAGTAATTCTTATTATCTTGAGAGATTTTTGATGCTTTCAAAAAATTCCCAATATGTATTTTATTCACTGGATTTTGATAGTTTTATTGAGTAGTTTAGTTATGAATTACTTAGCCTGCTATATCACTAGACATAGAAGCTTTGCTTATAAATTTTAAATAAATTTATCTTTTTTTAAATAAAAAATTCCAATGGACTTTGAATTCATTGATTAATTTGGGGACAGTTTACAATCAGGAATATATATCTATATATTTAGAACATTTTCTAGGTCTTTTAATAGAATTCCTCCACAGGGATTTTGTTCAATTGGTTCACATACTTATCAGATGCTATATAATTTTGTATCTTTGAAATTTATAGTTGTCATTTTTTGTGGACTTAGCTTGTATCTGTCAACTTTGTTGAATATCCTAATGTTACATTTCTTGGTCCTACTGTTTTATTTCTAAGTAGACGACTGTGCTGTCTACAAACAATGATAATTCTGTCTCCTCCCTTTGATTCTTACACTCCTCATGTGTTTTTCCTAGTTTATAGCAATAGCTAGGACGTTCAATCCTATATTAAACAACAGTCGTGATGAAATCAATAATCCTTTATTAGTGTCAACCTTAAGGGAAATACCCAAGCATTTTATGAACACTTTGTTTCCTACTTTTGATACTTTTTTAAAAAATAACTAGTTAGAGTTGTTTCTGCTACCTGAAATTTACATATGTTTGATAGCAAAGGAATATAGACTGATAATTTTCCTGTGGTTGTAGAATCAGCATTTAAGAACTCAAGATAAAAATAACAAAGCATTATGTATCCCATATTCTGGAAATAGCAAATATCACACTCAAAACTTAGAGTTGTTTTGTTTTGTTTTTTTTTCAGGCAGAGTGGACAGTGAGAGAGAGAGACAGGGAGAAAGGTCTTCCTTTACCATTGGTTCACCCTCCAATGGCCGCTGTAGCCGGCGCACTGTGGCCAGCACACCACGCTGATCCGAAGCCAGGAGCCAGGTGCTTCTGCTAGTCTCCCATGCTGGTGCAGGACCCAAGCACTTGGGACATCTTCCACTCCACTCCCGGGCCACAGCAGAGAGCTGGACTGGAAGAGGAGCAGCCTGGACAGAATCCGGCACCCTGACCGACACCAGAACCCGGTGTGCCAGCACTGCAGGCGGAGGATTAGCCTAGTCAGCCGCAGTGCTTCCCTCAAAACATAGAGTTTTGAAAGTACTCAATCACCCTGATCATTGCCCCACTATCACCAACCTGCAACTCTGTAATTAAACAGGAAGGCTGTGAGGGAAAGAGAATGAGTTATCAAAAATGGCATTCATCGTTGAGCCAATTCTTTCCAAGCCAAGTGAGGGAAGAGGCTTGAGACAGTCAAAGAAGGTTTAGAAGTGCTGGAGAGGGCACTTAACCAGTGGTTAAAACACTGTGTAAGACGCCAGCATCCCACAGCAGAGTGCCTGTGTCCAGTTTCTAGTCCAGCTCCTGACTCCAGCTTCCTACTAATGTGGGAGGCAGCAGTGATGGCTAAGTGACTGAATCTCTGCCACTCCTGTGGGAGACCTGGATTGAGTTCCTGGCTGTTGGCTTCGGGCCTAGTCCAGCCCTGGCTGTCATAGGCATTTGGGATATGAATCAGAAGATGGGCATTTTGTCTGTGTCTCTCTGCATGTTTGTCTCTCAAATACATTTTTAAAATTGGGAGTGCTTATGCAGAAAGGGAGATTGGTTTGAATGACTGTCTAGGTCGCAGGCCTGGTGATAAACCTATGCCTACCTAAGAAGGGGAAAAATACCAAAGAAATATGTCTGGAGAAAAAGAGGACAATATTAGTACAGTCTCCTACCCTTGGCCAGAATGACTAAGTTGCCTGCTCCAGGAAGAATTCAAGCTTGAGCCTTCTTGCCAGGGCCTCACCCCAACGGAAGACACACTGAATAAAGAGATCCCAAAGCTGAAGACTGAGAGTGACCTACGAGGAGTCAGAGAAGGGGGTAAGGTGTCAAGAGGACAAGCTGGAGCTGAATCCAGGAGAAGCTAACACAACAGCCTGTTGGCCTTAGCTACAGGTTCAGAACAGGCACTGAAAGACTGTGGTCTGTCTCATGTCCTTTACCAAACACTACTGCTTTCCACACTGTACTGCTCCAACTCTAAAAATATCTCTCAAGTCATATAATATAGCAGAAATTATTTTCTCTATAGCTTTCTGCAATATTGAGTCCCCATAATTGACCTTAAAAATCAATCTAGGCTAATCCTCTGCCTTGCAGCACCGGCACACTGGGTTCTAGTCCTGGTCGGGGTGCTGGATTCTGTCCCGGTTGCCCCTCTTCCAGGCCAGCTCTCTGCTGTGGCCAGGGAGTGCAGTGGAGGATGGCCCAAGTCCTTGGACCCTGCACCCCATGGGGGACCAAGAGAAGTACCTGGTTCCTGCCATCGGATCAGCGCGGTGCGCCAGCTGTGGCAAAAAGGAAGACCTTTCTCTCTGTCTCTCTCTCTCACTGTCCACTCTGCCTGTCCAAAAAAAAAAAAAAAAAAAAATCAATCTAGAAATCAATTCCACAGCCTCCTCCCAATCCTTGGAATTCTGTCCAAAGCCCAGGAGGCCATGGTAGAGTCAGAGCATCAAGGAAGACATCTGGTCCTTGAGGTCACCATCTACCCCTGGTGCTCATCCTAATCAAATGACAACTTGTCTGCTCTTCCCTGACGGCAACGCCTTCTCATGTCCACTGGAGATTCTCTGTGTGTTAACTCCTATGCCCCTCCTGGGCACCTGGGGATTTGCTGTCTTCTACACCAGTTTCCAGAGCAGGTGATGTTGCGATGCTCTCTCAGAGCTCCTCTGCCATCCACACTGGCCTTTCTTCTCTGCTCTTACATCAGGGTGGGCACACAAGGGCCCAGGGCTCTCTGAAAGGACTCGCTGTTCCCTCACCTGATATCCCAGCTTTCTTGGGCTGAAGGTAGTTGTGATACAGGCTTTCCTAAGTTGGCCTGGGGAGAAGCCAGGGAAGGGTCACTTTTCAGGACCCCGCGCCCCCCCTCCCCCGCATTTAATTCTCTTTGTCTTACCCTATCTGACAGGCAGAGTGGACAGTGAGAGAGAGACACAGAGAGAAAGGTCTTCCTTTTGCTGTTGGTTCACCCTCCAATGGCCGCCGCGGGCCGGTGCGCTGCAGCCGGCGCACCGCGCTGATCCAATGGCAGGAGCCAGGTACTTATCCTGGTCTCCCATGGGGTGCAGGGCCCAAGTACTTGGGCCATCCTCCACTGCACTCCCTGGCCACAGCAGAGAGCTGGCCTGGAAGAGGGGCAACCGGGACAGAATCCGGCGTCCCGACCGGGACTAGAACCCGGTGTGCAAGGCAGAGGATTAGCCTAGTGAGCTGCGGCGCCGGCCCACCCTATCTAACTCTTTATTCTTCCCTAGTCTGGTGAACTGTATCTAATTTAGTGGAGTTGAGGGTTAGGAACCAAAGAAATCATTATTATATCATTCAAGACTGACTGTTGCATAAATAGCCTTAATTTCTATGTTTTTTTTTTTTTCTGTGTCCTCCTGAGGGCCAGACTGTTGAAACTTAAAATCTAATCATTGACAATAATATTTTGGAGGGCCATTCTTCCCTGTAAGCAAAATAAACTACAAAGTCTTTGTGTCTGGACCACAAATGGGTTAATGGGCTAAAAAGTGAGATTTTACTCTGCTAAATTTTTTTTTTCAGGAAAACCTAACTCTTATTGAATGGTGTTTTTTAGGATACAAAGTGGTCTTTCTAACCCCTCATCCCCTTAAGAAAGAAAAGAAAAAAACAACCAACTACTCTCCAGAAAAAACCGTAAGCAGGGAAGGGAAGTTCTTGGGTACAGATTACCATTAACTGTGTGTCACAGTTGTCCTGGTTTGTGACCAGGAAAAGAACACTGCTATTCGCCCCATCAGACAAAGGTTGGGAGGCTGTAACAGAACTTCAGAACACAATTGCGTTATTCATTTCAAACTCCTTAGGAACAAATCTACCAAAGGTTACTTAACTGGAGTTGATAAGATTAACCACAGGAGCAAACTGAAAGCACTGGAAAATAACTTCCCCGAGGCCCTAGCTCATGGTTCAGAGCCAAGCAGATTAGCAGCACTTGAGACACAGGTGTGAGTACCGAGATCTATCACCAAAGAACAGGTCTGCCTTGCCCTAAGGTAGCTTCTCTGCCAAATTTCCCCACAGCTGGATTTTTGTGTCTGCACTTGAGGAGACTGTAGATTTTAGGAGAACTTGGGACACTTCATGATGTCAGTTCTTGCTTTTGTCTGTGGGTTGGAACACTGGGTAGCAGAATGTGCCCAGCACTATTAGAAGAAGAGAATAACACTTGTAAGTAGTTAAACATTAGTTTTCCTCCTGGTCTGGACTGTCAAAGGCTCAGAACAGCATAGTTGTGGGCTAAGCGGTCACCAGTGGGTTCTAGCTGACTTGGGGACCTCACGGGCCACAGTCCACACATCTGATTGTTGAAATAATATTGGGAGTTCTAGACAAGGAGTTGAGCACACTAGTTTCTTGTTGAACTTTCACTAACTTGACTTGCAATTTGGTCAATACATGTTACCTCTCTGTGCCCCTTCACTTCTATCCATAAACAGAGCCAGACTCACTTTTGTTGGTATTTGTTATTTACTTATGGTTCCAATTATCACACCTTTAAAGATTTACTTTTACCAAACAGGTAGACTTTTTGGAAGAGCTGGAGACTAGAGCACACAATACAGAGTTTTGTGAAATATAGTGCCTATGAGAATCTTCCCTTGGTACACAGAAGCCACGGTGGAGCCCTGAAGCACAGAGCCGTCATTGGTGTACACGGTGCTCACCCTGGGCTTCTCAGACAAAACATTCTGGATACGAAGTACCTGTCAGGAGAAGATCACTCGTTAGGACACTGTATGGGCAAGTCACTGTCCAGTGATGGCTTCCTTCCCAAACATTCTGACACCAGTATAATTTTTCAGAAATCAGCAAGCTAAAATCTATGTATGCTCAATAACTCCTTTCCTTCTGATGTAAATACTAACACCCTGATGGTATCTAGGCACTAGGTGAACTGATTATCTGACATTGCCAAAGTCCTCAATTGGTAGCTTACATAATTTTGATAGTTCAGGCACTCCCTATAGACGAAGGGACGATTAAGTGGGTGCTCTTATCCAATTCTTGAGTGAATAGTGAGCCTGCTTTTGTGGTAAGGTAAGGAAACACAGAAAAATAAAATGATCATAGTACACTTGAGTAGCAAGTCAACCCAGCTTAGAAACCATCAGGATGGTGGTTGTCACAGCTGGAGCCCTCCCAGCACTGCACAGTGGTTAGGAAGCATAAAGAATGCATACTTCTCTGAGAATCCACACATCCCTGCCCTGGCTGTGACTGAGCCCCGGGATTAGCACACTCAACTTCGCTAGTCGGCTGAATTTTAAACAATCATGTTTCTACATAACTGGGATGAAGTGTATTCAAATTGAACTTAATAGGAATTAAAGGAAAACAATCAGAGTTTATATTGACATCTTTTATCAGAATTGAGTTTTGCTTCTTCTTTTTTTTCATCTTAAGAAAGATCCTACAATTTCATCTCAGGTTTGCTAAACAAAAATACTCAAGCTTGGAGCTCATGCAAGGATGTTAGTATTATGAAGAGAGGAGTCTTATCTCAAATAAGCAAGGATTATTTTCATAATAATATTAAAAATGATTCTAAACAATTTTCAAATCACCTAAGGATAATATTGTCTTCCCATAAAGCAGATATTGTGTTTGGGCCTTGGTAAGTTCTCTCCCTCTCTTCCAGGAGAAGTACCTATCTGGAGCCAGCTTAGCTTTTTAGAGTATGATAACCATTCTTCAGATTGCGGGCTCAGGCTGAAATTTTTTTTTATTTTTGGTGTTCTTTTTAAGAAGCTATGACTAATACGTTAATTAAAAAGAAAGTCTTACTTTTTTAAACTAAAAAACAGTAATATTCTTCAGCAGAAATGACTTTATTTTCTAATTTACCCACTGGGCCAATTACCAGGCTAGGATTTGGATATCAGTTTTCCAACTGCCCAAACTGGTAGTGAAATGCTATCTTTGTTGTCAAACTGTACCTGTATGATCTCTGCACCTAATCACAGGCCCTGTCCTCTCCCTGCTCACAGCAGTCCTGGTTCCCTTGACTATACTGTTTTCCCCAAAGAACTTAGCATCCTCAAACCCACCATACAAGTTGTTTGTTCATTTATTTTGCTTATTGTTCATTGTCTGCTCCCCACCAAGAGCAAGGATCATGGCATGTTTTATTTTCTAATATATCCTAAGCATGAGAGCAATGTCTGGTACTTTCTAGGTGCTCTATCATTGTTCCTGTGAGAAGGCGGTAAGATCCAGCAGGGGCTCCTTCCTAATTCTGGAGTGAACAGTGATCCTGCCTCTGAGGGAAGGGAACAGGAAAAGATACCAATATGCGCCGAGGATTTATACCTTTAGCTAAATTCACTAGAGATCTTTGATTCTTAAATCCAGTTATCACAGAAAATATAATGCTTTGTGCTATTGTTTTTAGTGCCATAGAAAATTCAATGGTTTATGTGACTGTTTTAGGAGGGATAATTAAATAACACTAATAAAATTTTTAAAGTGAGACATTTGTCAACACTATCATATCTATTAGAACCCACATGCAAAACAAAACACTCGTTTTGTTTGAAGCTACAGTCATTTAAACTCTTTTTCTTAGAACTTCATGTTGCATAGTGCACAAAAAAAAAAAAAATCCATACAGGACTCCATCCTTGCCTAACTGTAGGACTTGTTAACAGCCTACATCCTGGTTGGAGACACAATATGGCAATCAAGTCAATATGAACGATCAAGCTCATGAGTTCCCATTACTCCCAGTGGTAGTTTTATCCCTAGCAAAGACAGGACATACTGTTTCCCACTGATGTCAAACTGGCACCCTGTGGCCTGAAAGCATTAGCCGTATCTAACCATGTGAGCCATATCTAACCATATCTAACTCCCTGTCCATCAGAATCTCTACGATTTTCATACACAGAATTATTTAGTTCTGCAACATTAAATGTGACCCAATCAAATATTCCCAAGTCAACTCAACAAATTGTTCTTGCAGCTTTGTGAGATCAGGGAAAGACAGAAACTTACTTCTGATCCTGGAGGATCCTCAGGGTTATAGTTCAGAAGCTTCATGCCATTAGGATGGCATCCTGCCAAGATATCTCCCGTGGCAGGATCAACAGACAAATTATCCACTAAGGTGTCCAAGTGTATTACCTTCCAACAAAGAGGAAGTAGTGAAGACATTGTCCCAACGTTCTTCCCCATCCGCCTCTACCACCTCCCACCAGCATAGCCTTGTACACAAAATTGTATTTTTAGGGGTATAGGCTACAGTATTTTTAAAGCACAGCACAGTTTTACCAGAATTTCTCTTAAACAGTCACGTTTTCTTTGCCCAAGGAGCACATTCTCAGGTCAAGAGTAGGACAAATGTCAGAGGCCATGTCATGTACGCAAGCCAGGTGCTCCTACCTTCAGTTCAGTTAAATCCCAGTTGTCATGTTTTTCCATTACATGCACATTCTTAGCTGTGGCATCAGCAACATAGACATACCTTTGAAGTAAATAACATGTCCATTTAAGCAGTTAGTAGTAAAATGTGATACCGACTTTTACTTTGGAGAAGGGGTATAAAAATTCATACTAGTTCAATACACCACAGCAATGCCTTCTAAAGCACAATATAAGGAGATAATGGAGTAGTACTTTTTAATGTGCTTGGAGAGTGCTTTAAGTAGGTTTGAATATGAAATATAACTATAAAGTAATAAAATTGTTTTTCTAGGTGAGATACAGGCTTTATCTCATTACCTAGGAATCATAATTTTTTTTTCTTTTTTTTTAAAAGTTTATTTTATTTCTTTGAAAGGCAGTTACAGAGAGAAGGAAAGACAGAGAGAGAAAGAGATCTTCCATTTGCTGGTTCATTCCCCAAATGAACAAAATGACCAGGGTTGGGCCAGGCCAAAGCCAGTAGCCAGGAGCTTCCTCCAGGCCTCCAACATGGAAGCTAGGACCCAAGCACCCGGGCCAACCTCTGTTACCCTCTCAGGTGCATTAGCAGGGAGCTAGATTGGAAGTGGAGCAGCTGGGACTTGAACGGGTATCCATATGGGATACCAGCACTGTAGGACAGGGTCTTAACCCACTGAGCTACAGCATTCGCTCCCCACAATTTCTTTCTTTAAATAAAAGGAGGTAAGTAGATCACTTAAAAGACCAAAATAGTATATACTTCCAAAAACTAGTGATAGAGACGAAGTATTAGATTACCAGGAATTTCTGTCACAATCATTTTTTAAAAGAGGAAGAACATTTAGAGTTATGTTCCACAAGTATCATCTATGTGCATTATCTCAAATTTACATGTCACTATTTATGGCAGTTCTCTTAAAAAAAAAAAAACCTTCAATTCTGAACATTTAGTAAGAGTGTTTTCTCACTAAACTCCACGGTACTTCTGTTTCCTTGTTGACTGAACTTGTACAATCACAAAAACCCAATCTAAAGTAGACTCCCTCTGCAAAAAGAGATTTGGGCACTGACCTTAGTGTAAGTGAACCAACAGCTCTAGCCTCATAAGAGGCAGAGGCTTTGGACACTTATCCTCCTTTTCGTGTGCTAAGAAAGTGTTCTTTAGAGTGACATAAGAATTATAAATGAGAACTTCATCTATTTTTTGAGTCAAATCTCTCCTTTTACTGTGGTGGTGGTGGGGCGGGGTGGTAGCTGAGACACATGAGAACACGTGGTTTGCTTCAGATCACACGTTTGCTGTGTGGCCACATCTGATCCTCTACTCATAGACTGCTTATGTAAGCCTAAGGACGTAACCACCCACCACCACTGAGCAGAACCACTGTAAAAGAGCATACTTCTTATCTAGTGAGACTGTGATCCCATTGGCAGAACTGAATCCTTTGGCCACCACTTTGACCTCTTTGGGGCTGTAGAAAAGAACGGAAGTCCAGTGAAGATCCAAAAACATCTCAAGAAGTGCTAAGACATAGTTGGTAAAATAGTGGTCTCTGGTGGCGTAGAACTGTTCCGGTCCAAGAACCACAATGTTATTCACACTAAAATGAGAAAGAGAAAGAGAGAGAAACCATGGGATATTTAAATACTAGGATCACTGCCCATATCACTAATCTGTATAGATCTGTCCATTTGAGAAGCATACAAAAATCAGTATGGAGGCAAAAATTCCATATAAAGCACATGATCTTGCATTTCCCTGGTGGATTTCCCTTTAGCCATTTGTTAGTTTTTCAACTTCCTCTTCCATAAAACCAGTAAAATTTACAAAAGAATCTCCCAACTTCACACTCTGTTGACTTGTGAATGTTAGTAGTGGTTATATGTGAAAGTTATAATGTAATTCATGGATAGTTATGGTTCTCCTTCTCTATAAATTCAACTTCTTCATCCCCTTGAAGTTAGGCACAGTCAAGTGACTTGCTTATCAATGAAGTAAATAATGTATGTGGCTTCCACATGGAAGACTTTAATAGCCAATGAGGGATTTACCACATTTCTCTAAGATTTCCAGATGTAATGAGAAATTTTCCTGAAAAAGAAAAGGGTATTCTCCTAAGGTCCTAAATGAGGACATGAAACTAAGTGCCTACATTAGATGTGTTAGCAAGAGTGAGAAAACAAAACAAAATAGAACTTTGTGCTTTTCAATCACTAAGGTGTTAGGGTTTTGCTTTGTGTTACAACATAACTCAGACCATGCTGACCTTTCTATTTTGTCTGAGTGTATGGGATTATGGACGATTTTTTTATAGCATTCTTTAAAAAAAAAGATTTATTTACTTTGAAAGATAGAGTTGGGGGAGAGAGAGAGAGACAGAGAGAGATCCGCCATCTGCTGGTTCACTCCCCAAATGGCGCAACGATCAGGGCTGGGTAGATCAGGAGCCGGGAGATTCTTCCAGCTCTCCCATGGCCGCAGGGGCCCAAGCATTCGGGCCTTCTTCTGCTTTCCTAGGTACATTAGCAGGAAGATGGATCGGAAGTGGAGCGGCCGAGTCTTGAACCGGTGCCCATATGGGATGCCAGCACTGCAGGCGGTGGCTTTACCCCCTATGCCACAGCACTGGCCTCAATATTGTTTCTTTTGTTCTTCAATGCCATTAAGAATTTCTAAGTGGAAAAGTCTTACTTTTATTACCAGTAAAACACCAATAAAGCCCTTTTCAGTTTTCAGAAAGAAAAAAAAAGAAAAACAGTAACTTGAAAAAATGTAGAAAATGATTTTACACTTTTTAGCTTTTAAGAAAGGCAAATTTGGATGAAACAGGAAATATTTTCCTATTTTGATGTATCCTTGCCGGGGTCACTGGTCTTTTGTGTCTTAGCTTAAGTGTTCCTTCCTCCAAAAAGGATTTCTCAACATTATAAGTTATGTTAAATTTACCCCTATTTGTTTCTGTCTCTCTTCTGCCCCCTTGTAATTATTTCATCAGTGCGTGTACCAGGGCAGCTCTGAAGTTTTTCATTCTCACTGTGTTGCCTGCCTTGTTCCAACTGCCTCTACTTGGACCAGTTCTGCATGGAGTCCAACAGACTTCCTGCAGATGCAAACTAACAGTGCCTCTCCTCATGCCTGGCGCAGATCTCTGGCTTCCCACTTCCTAACTTCCATGCTGACATAAAAGCATAGGAAACCAGCAGACTTGCTCAAGCATGACCAGGAATGTGGGGGAGTTAATGCCCCTGGAGGCTCATCTTTGACTGATGGGAGCTGGGGCTGAAGGACAAACTCTTTACTTTCTCATCTTGGCCGCAGTGTCCTGAGATGAGTCTTACGCTGCTTACTGGAGAATAATCTCATGGTTTCAAGCAGCCAGTTGCACTTAGCAGTGATGCATTTGCTACACCTCTCTCCCTGTGTGAGTCTCCTAGTGCTACCATAACAAACTACAGTAAATAGCATGGCTTAGAACAATAGGAATGCACTGCCTCACAGTTCTGGAGGCTAGGAGTTAGAAACAAAGCTGTTGGCAAGGCCAGGTTCCCTCTGATGTTTCTCTGGGAGGAACTTCAAGGATACTACAAGACATTCCTTGGCTTGTAGATGCATCACTCCAATGTCAGTCTTCATCTTCACATGTCAATGCCCCTTGTGTCTGCTTGTCTTCTTAGGTAGACCCTAGACATACTGTATTAAGGTCACACCCTACTCCAATATGACTTCATCTTAACTAATTACATATACATTGACCCAATTTCCAAATAAGATTACATTCTGAGACACTGGGATTTCAACATAACTTTTGGGGCATGCATGCTTTCACTCATAACACGCTCTCTTCCGTCCCGCAGGCTGGCTGGTTTCCTACTTCCATTCTCGGGAACTGTATTCCCTAACAGGGAGTTACAGAACAGGATTTCCCCCCCATTGTGCTTTCTGGGAACTCTTCCTGTGAGGTCACACCTGTTCACATATGATCCTCACCATCTACCAGTTAAGTGAGACCAATGAGAGAATCTCTGATTTGCTGAGGGAAATTGAGGTACAGATCAATTTTGTCTACAGTTTCCCAGTAACTTCATGAACCTTCTGGCCTCCAATGTGGCCTCAGAACAGAACACAATGTATTATGGAAGAAGTTCAGTAACTTCAACTTCTTTTACATCTTCTGCCCTCCACCCTCCATTTCTGGTGCCCCCAAATTTTGTGGGGAGAAATTCCTATGTGATGTTGATAGGGAAAGCAATGGAGAGCAAATAAACCTTCTTCCATCTTCTTATTCATCTATCCTGTGGAAGAGTCAACTTCTATGGTTTTGGAATGAGTCTTCTGGTGCTGAACCCGTTATAAAAATGTAAACTCTTCCTTGTTGGCTACAGAGTTGAAACAGGCAGCTTATCCGCGGTTATTATTATTATTATTATTATTATTATTTTGGAAAGCAAAAAGATGGATGTTCCTCATTGTGATCAAGAGCTAAGCTTTAAGGCTCAGTTTACTCATGCCTACTACTAGAGGCTAATGTGAGAACTGAATTAAGTATTTTGGCACAGTGCTTGGCACAGTGTTGATGCTTAGTAAGTGCAGGTTTTTATAAGTGCCCGTGAGCTTTTATCAAACTCTACTCTAAAGCCCTGATTGAACAAAGAAATGGCTCATCTCTAGTTTTATTACCCGGTGGGTGAGGCTCATGGAGTACAACCTACCAGGACAGCTAGGAAAGTATGTAGGTATTCAAAGAGAGCCCTACAGTAGGTGTGTGTTCCTGTGGTAAAGAGCTGGGGCTCTAATTGAGCACCTTTATAGGATTAAAATGCTTTCAAAACATCAGAAAATATAGGGATATCCAATACTGACCGCAGCAATTTCCAGTGCGGTGCTGGGCAGTGCCACCATGGGGATCTCTGGAGAGATTTAGGGAAAAAAAGTTTCAAAACAAAAGTTTAAGAAACCTGCTGAACCAGGGATAACAACACTCAGCGGAGGTGCAAAGTAAATAGAATTATGCAATACTTTAATTCCATACCTCTTGAGAAGTTCATGTTTTATAGTTTTCAGGTGTACAAGAGAGCGTTGTTGTTCCTCAAATTTAAATATCTCCACAGTAGACTTCATGTGGGGATGATTCACAACATAAAGATACACAGTATGGTCTATGTGGGGGAAAAAGCATACATTCAAAGAAGTTCACTTCTATTGCAATCATTATTAGACCTGTTAGGTAGGAAGTCAGAAACTGAGCCTGCGTGTCTGTGAGAAAGGCCTGAAGACCGGCACCCACTGTGGAAGCTCCAGAAGCCCAGTATCTGCACTTCAAAGTCCTGCCCAGACCCTGCTAACCTTCCAGGAGGTCCTGCCCCTTCTACCTGGCCTGATAAACATCCTTCCTCTAATGCCAGCCAGGCTTCCCCTGTCTGACAACTTCAGGGGGAAAAACTCAGAAAGAATTTTTTGTATTTATACCCAAGAAGTCCTTTGTTCTGGAGGAGAAGAAGGAGAGGGAGAGGGAAAAGGCAAGAAGGCAAGACCCATCCCCTTGAAAACCCCTGCCTAAATGTGCACTACGCACTCTCTCTGGTTCTGTCTGGAGAGGTGCCCATCCCTTCTTACGGAAGTCCCTACCCTAATAACCCTTGATATTTTGCTTTCCACTACTCTGTCTCACACCTAAATTCTTTCTTGCACAAAGACAAAAACCCTTTGCGCTTCTCCGGTAACAGACCAGTTTTCAAACTTGGCCACTTCCAAAGGTTTTCTTTACACATGTCGTATTTCAGCCTCACTGTCCCGCTGTTAGGTTGGAAAAATGCCAGAATCCCCAATGTACTGAGGAAACTGAAGCTCAGTAGAGAAATGACTCAGCAGTTTCACCACCATCGCAAGGCAAAGGCCAGCACAGAAGTTTCTGTAGTGGTGGCTTCAGCCTCACGGGCACACTTTCTCTAACAGGAAGACACATGTTGCATAAATACCCATGTGGTTTCTCCAGATGACCCTCCAACAGAAGTGGGTGCAAACAAACAAAACTTGACTGAGAACTTTGGATGTATAACTGTCTACATTGCAACACAAGTTCAAATAATGTCAGGGCTGTGTAAATACCTGAAAATAAGCAACCTTTCCCAGCTGGACAATGAACTTGTGACACGAATCAACCGCTTGGGGTTGAAATGAAACACGGAGTGAACCCAGAGGACATGGGATGAAAGTACGAATGCAGAGGAAAACAAGGAAATGGGAATGTGAACGGCATGGAGAGTAGCAACCTCTCAGAGTCCTGTTTTCAGACGAACAGGAGCTCTAGGTCTGATGAACTCTGCAGTTGTTAAAGGGTCTGGCCCCATCTTCTCACTGCAGGACTTGTTTCGGGTTTGTCTTCCCTATTTCTTTTCTTGCTATAGCTTCCAAGGAGGTAATAGAGCAAGCACAAGCCCTGAGATACAAGGTTTAGACCTAGGACCCTTGAATCACACTGGACATCTTTATTCAAATTAAGAACAGCTGCTTCTTCGTGATGCATCTTTCTTCTGGCCTGGCTCAGCTTTGCCCCACGGCCAGAGCTGGGCAAGCAGAACATCGGTAGATTTCAGCCCCGAAAGGGCCCTTCAGCCTAAGACTCCTGCAGGACAAACCATGAACAATCACATGTGCTGCCCTGACTTTACCCCTTTAAATGCCCCACAGGACCTGGGGACCACATTAGATGCACTTGGTGAGAACACTTTGTTCTCCTCTTGTCATTCCATCCCACCTCTGCTGGAGGAGCCCAACGTATAAGATAAACTGTCTTTCATTATATACTTCTGAAAGCCTGAGAGTTAATGTGTGAATTGATCTCATCTGGAAAAGCAAAACAAATACAAATAACTATGCCCTCCCCCAAACTAACCCCTTCTCTAACATTATCCCATGCTTGGCCATACACTTTTTGAAGATTCCCTCATATAGTTACAGAATTGTGCAAGAACAATCATTATCTACTTGTGTTTCATTTTCATCACACCCAAAAGAAGTCACATACCCATTAGCTGTCTGTCTCCCTAGTTTCTGCCAACCATGAATCTGCCTTCTATCTACAAGAATGTGCCTATTTTGGACATTCACATAAATGCAGTCAGGCAACATGCCACCCTTAGTGAGGGACTGAGCATAGTATTTAGAAGGTCCATCAGTGTTGCAGTATATGCACCAGTAGGTCGTTCCTTTCTATTGCCAAGTTGTTCCATTGTATAATATAGCACATTTTATTTTTGCAGCCATCAATTGCCAGGCATCTTTTGAATATTAGGAATCTTGCTGCCACGAGTATACAAGTTTGTGTGTGGATTTTTAGTTCTCCTGGGTAGATACCAAGGAGTAGAGCTTCTGGGTCATTGGGTAACTCTGTGATTAACATTTTGAGGAACAGTCAAACTGCTGTTCAAAGTGGCTGCATCATCTCGCAATTCCATAAGCAAAGGAGGATGGTTCAAATTTCTCTACATCCATGCTAACATTTGCTACTCAGGTCTCTTTGTTTTTAAATTATTTTTATAGTCCTAGGGGGTGTGAAGTGGTATACCTCATTCTAGTGTTAATCCGCTTTCCCTAATGACTGAGGTTGTTGAACACCTTTTCATGTGCTTATCTGTGTACTTCTTTGTGAGAAATGTCTATTCAGATCCTTTGTCCATTTTTAAGTTGGATTATTTGTCTTTTTTAGCATTGAGTTGTAAAAATTGTATTTTGTGGATACAAGTTTCTCATCCCATTTGTTTTGCAAATATTAGCTCTCATTCTTTGCATAATTTCTTCATTTCCTTAGGGTGTCATTTGGGACACAAAATTTTCTCATTTTGGTGAGTCTAATTTATCTCTTTTTTTTTCTGTATGATATAGTTTTTAGTGTCACTCAATTGTTTTTTAAAGCCTTTAGTTTACATTAGATTTTTGAGAACATATTTCAATCAGGTTGTGATAGTCAAATAGGAAGAAAAGAGGATAGAAGGAAGTGCAGGAAGCCACACTGGGCCAAAAATATTAGTCTTCCTTGTTTCATGCAATGTTTTAAGATGTTTCTATACACATTTACAATTTTACAAACTTGTATACATATTTACAGTAAATCAACATTCTCCCTTACCTTTATCAATGAAAGTGCTGATCCCATGTGGATTGAATGATTCTTTTTCAAATCCATTGCTGATTTCCAGCTCTTGTGCTCTTGGGTTCTTCTCATTCATATCTATCAAGAAGATTTTTCCTGGCTCATCTGGTGCAAAGTTTGGCATGCCTGGATATTTTAATCCCTTTACAAAATAAGGAGGAAATAAGCACACACACACACACACACACACACACACATATCAAACAATGTATCAATCAAATGGAAGCTAAAATCTCAAAGCTAAACAAAAATGTTCTACATTTCATCTGGATTTCTAAGTTTTTCACTCTTTCCATTGCTGTTATTTGAGCTCAGGGGTTACCAATATCACCTAAGCATTGGCCATGAATATGGGAAGAACAATATTCAAGATAAGGAAGAATTGTTAATTTACAAAGAATTAAGTCAAAAAACATAATACAGGAGACCATGCTGTGTTACCTTGTGTGAGTTCCTTGGCCTACCTGTGCCTCACATTCTGCCTCCATCAAATGAGGAAGTGAAAATGGGCGATTGGGAAGATTCTTTCTATTCCAGATATTCTATAACCTATCCTTCCTCAAAGCAACGACACAAGTTGTATAGTTTACTGTCATTACTCCAATCCCCACACTGATTTTTTTTTATGTAGTGGCACATAGTAGAATCAGCAAAGATTTAAAGTAGGGGTGCAGTCTTATAGAATTTGACTACTTCTGACCAATTTTGTTCCTATAAGTTTGTCTGAAAGGTCCAACGTGAATGGTTTTCTCCAAATGTTGCAGAAACCTCATTGTAGTGACTTGGCCAGTGGTCCTTTCTACTAGCAGGAATGGGTGATTATCAACTCAAAATAAACATCCTGAATGCATCAGGCTTTTGTTGCATCCCACCTCACCATGTCAAAACTTGGGGCTTGTTGATTCTGCACTGGTTACAGAATAGTCCACCTGCTACCCATGTCCCTTCCCCATCACTCTGATCTGTGCCAATATCAACAACCCTATAAATTCTCCTGTATGCTTATCTCACTTACAGTCCACTTAAATTCTCTCCTTCCGACTTTACCTTCTCTTTCTTTCTTTTTTTTTTTTTTAATTTTTTGACAGGCAGAGTAGACAGTGAGAGAGAGACAGAGAGAAAGGTCTTCCTTTGCCGTTGGTTCACCCTCCAATGGCTGCTGCGGCCAGCGCGCTGCAGCGGGTGCACTGCGCTGATCCGAAGGCAGGAGCCAGGTGCTTCTCCTGGTCTCCCATGGGGTGCAGGGCCCAAGGACTTGGGCCATCCTCCACTGCACTCCCTGGCCACAGCAGAGAGCTGGCCTGGAAGAGGGGCAACCGGGACAGAATCCAGCACCCCGACTGGGACTAGAACCCGGTGTGCCAGCGCCGTAAGGCGGAGGATTAGCCTAGTGAGCCACGGCGCCAGCCACCTTCTCTTTCCATCTCTCCCTCTCCCTACTCTTGATTGTATATGCCCAAACCCCACGGCTACACATACTTATAAAATACTGTTCTTGACTTTGTCGTGCAGGAGTCAATCTTGCCTGAATTCCCCCACCTACATCTTCAAGTTTTTCGCAGAACACTTTCTGTGTCCAATTCTCGTTGTCTGGTATTGTGTGGGGAAACCACATTTTCCCCTAGACCACACTGGCTCTCCTGAAGCCCGTCAGAGGATGTGCTGTTCCTCTTCCATTCTCCAGAAGTCACCACAGCTGGAGGAAATATAGACAAGTCCCCTGCCACAAACATTTGCTTCCAGACCAAACTCTGTCACCCTCCATTAACTCACAGTCTTCCAAGGAAGCCATACCTTTGCTCCATCATCAAAATCTCTACCAGCTCTCTTTGCTCTGATCTAGTTCTTACAAAGGGCAAGTCAACTGTCAGATTGAAAGACTTCATTAGCAAATCATCATCCCAAGTTCCAATGGAGATTCAACACTTTCTGTGGAACTCTTTGTTCATCTGAATAGGCAATCTACTGGATTTTTCCAAGTACCTATTCTAAATTTATGTCCTTATTTTCCCAAGTCCACACTTTCTTCCTTTTTATTCTGAATGCATGACGTTTCTCTACTTCGTTGAAACACCATTCTATTTCATATGAATTTCTTGATTCATTCCTTTCTCTCTCAATAATTCATCAGTTTTACCCTTTTTTCTTTTCTCCCTCTTTTTTAAATGAAGTATCCTTCTTCTGTTGTTAGGTTAACTATTTCACCTTTTTTCTTGATTCCATATTCTGTAGGGCCTGTGTTTAGAAATGGCATCCCTTTTTTTTTTTATTTTAGTACTCATTTTTCACCAATGGCTCCTTATTTGGTTTTAAATATTACTCAAGTTTCTCCTTCCTTGACACAAATCTAACATTACTACCTCTTCAGATACACATTTATTTCTTTCTTTCACTGTCAAATGTTTTTGAGGGCCAGCGCTGTGGTGCAGTGGGTTAATGCCCTGGCCTGAAGCGCCAGCATCCCATCATCCCATATGGGTGCTGGTTCAAGACCTGGTTGCTCCACTTCTGATCCAGCTCTCTCTGCTGTGGCCTGGGAAAGCAGTAGAAGATGGCCCAAGTCCTTGGACCCCTGCACCCACATGGGAGACCCGGAAGAAGCTCCTGGCTCCTGGCTTTGGATCAGCACAGCTCCAGCCACTGTGGCCAGTTGGAGATTGAACCATCAGATGGAAGTCCTTTCTCTCTCTCTCTGCCTCTCCTCTCTCTGTGTAACTCTTTCAAGTAAATAAATAAATCTTAAAAAAAAAAAGTCTGAAACATCACCTGATATTGTTGCCTAATTTGCCTCAACTTGAATTCCCTGAAATCAGTCTTCCACACCTACCACTTTGCAGAACACCCTACAAATATCTTATCAGTGATCTCCAAAATATGCTACCTTACAATGCTCTACCTTTCCTTCTCTGTCCCTCTGTGGCATCTGTCTTACAGCATGCCCCTTCTTTTTCATCAAAAGGTCAAAAATAGAGTTACCAGGCAGAAGTCTTGCTTCCCTTCCCGCCTCTTGTATTTCTTCCTTTTTCTGTCTTCATTCACTGCTCCCCTTTCTTGCTCTATACGCTTTCCTTGCAGAGTTTAGTCATAAGATTTCAGTTTTCTTCTACAACTACTTCCTAAGGAAGCTCAAAATCAACTCACCGAGCAAACATCAAGGCAAGCGCTGAGCTTGGGTGTAAGACAGCCGTTCAGATGCTCAAGTCTCATCAAAGTGCCTGGGTTTCAGTCTATGCGCCAGTTCATGATTCTGGCTTCCTGCTAATGTGCACCCCTGGAAGCAGCAGTGATGGCTCAAGAAACTGAGTTCCTGTCACCTTGTGGGATACCCAGAATGGGGTCCTGTCTCCCGGCATCAGCCCCACCCAGCTCTGATCACTGTGGGCATTTGGGGAGTTAAACATGGGATGAGACTATTTTCTCTCTCTCTCCCCTTTCTCTCTCAAATGAGTAAATTTTAATAAACAACATTATCTCTCAAACCCTTTCTCCCACTGATACTGACTCTCCTCTGAGTAGGAGAGCTCCTGGCTTCGGATTGGCCCAGCTCCAGCTGTTGCAGCCATTTGGGGAGTGAACCAGCAGATGGAGGACCTCTCTCTCTGCCTCTGCTTCTCTGTAACTCTGCCTTTCAAATAAGTAAGTCTTTTTAAAAAATTCATCAAGGGAGGCCTAGTGATAAGGACACTGGTTAAGACACCCATGTACCATATAAGAGTACTTGGGTTTGAGTCCAGGCTCCGACTCTGATTCTAGCTTCCTGCTAATGCAGATTCTGGGAGACAGAGATGATAGCTCAAGTAACTGAGTTCCTACCGCCCATGTAGGAGACACAGATTGAGTTCACTGCTCCTGGCTTTGACTCAGCCTCGCCCAGACATTGCAAGCATTTAAGAAATGAAGCAGTAGATAAGAGCTCTCTCTCTGTCTCTGTCTGCCTTTGCCTCTCAAATATATTTTATAGTATAGATAAACAAATACAAAAATTCATGTTCTCAAATATATTTTAAAGTAATAAATAGACAAATACAAAATTCATGTTCTTTGGTGGTGTTTCATTAGCCAATATTAGGCATGTAATTCCAGTGCTAAGAATTCACATTGAAAATGTGATAAATCCGTTTTAATAAGGAAAATCTTAGTCCCTGTTCCAAAGTGCAACTGATTTAATAAGTGCATAATAACTTCAATATTTCACAAATATACATTACTTGTGAATGGAATTTAGTCCTCGAAACTTGCAGAGTAGTATTGGGAATAAAATGTTTTTGAAAGGCATGGAAGGAATGGCAGGGAACCCAAGATGGAAGGTGGCAGGGTTTTGAATCAAGTAATTTGCCATTTGATTTACTAACATTTACAGACACAGGCGGTCTGGCGAAGAGGAATGCTGGTTAGTGAGAAGATGAGTACTAGGTACTGAGAACCAGCCCAAGACAGCAGTGTTCGGGATGCACAACCACAGGACAGAGGTGGAGCTCATCCTAGGGATCAAATGGAAATCAATACACGTTTATTTAGACCCCAGTGAGTGTGCAGCTGCCCGCAGGGAGCTAGCTGCCTCCCATGGGGCTGTCAAAGCTGGGCATCACCTCTGGCATTTTCATTAATCCTCTAGAGTCCTGTTTTCCTTTTGTAGTTGACTGGTCTCCCAAGTGGTGGGATAAGAGCTTTGGGGTCCATCTGGCAGGGATAGTCAGCAAAGCTAATGTACTTTCTATACAGCTATTGACATGAGCAGCAGAGTGTCACAGAAAATACTCACACTGGAGATAAAAGCCAGCCCACTAGGAAGTATATCAATATCTTCCGAGCCATTTTCTGCAAAAGAATCAGAAAGATGCATGTATGAAGGCTTAAAAAATAAATCTCTTGATTCAAAGTTTGAATTTCTTTTGGACACTACACTGACTTTTTCAACCTTTGCCTGGGAAACATTAACTCTTGAAATCCCACAGGCATGCTATTCTATAAGAAAAGCTGAGTCAGTCACCACAAATACTGAATTATTTTTTTAGAATCTCGTTTCCAGGAGAAAAGGGCAAATGATGAGAAAATAAATTCATATCCTAGATTTATTCTTTAAATACAATTTCCAGGACATGTCCTGGGAGATATTAGTGTTATTCCCCATAGAAGGCTGGTCTACGGATTGAGTGAAAAAACTGGGAAACTTCTAACTCTGTAGGTCTCTTATAGTCCTCTATGCCAAGTATTCCTGCTCTTCCAATTTGTCATTGGGGCCTAACAACCTATTGTTATACAATTCTGTTGGGAACTTACTGGGTAATTATTCTCTGCAAAAGCAATAGATCCTAGACTTTTGGATCTATTGTCTAATTTCATTTTCAGGCTGATGATTCAGGATCAGTCCCAACTTTCAGTAAAATAAATAAATCTTTCTCTGTTCTCCAGTTCTGGGTGTCAGTGAATTTTTAAGAAGTTTAGTGAGATATCTTTCTCACTGAAAGCTGGTCTTGAGTACTTTTCTGTGGAAAGAGACATGGAAGAAGTGAGTTTTTCCTGAGAACATAATGAAAAAAAGAGCTAGTGTGACTTTTAGTGAGTAGATGGATCCACATAAAATGTGGCTGCAAGCAGGCAGAATTGAGACTGAAGACAGTAATTGTCTGGAGTGGCAAACTATTCTACAACGACATCAGAACAAGTATACACCACAGCCACATGCGCTTCCCAAAATGTGATGTTCACACTGTTACATCAAGAAGTAAGTTCTCTGTTCTTGCCCCTTGAACCTGGAAGGAGCTTTGTAACTACCTTGCCAAATAAAGTGAGATGAATGAATACCATGTGACACCCCAGACTAGACATTACAGCCACAGATGCGCTCCCCCTCCTTTTTCCCCTCTCTTTCCCCCTTATTACATCTATGACATCTAAGTCATCTAAGTGTATATCTATGTCTGCATCTACACCTATACCTACACCTACATCTGTGTCTGTGTCTATGTCTATGTCTACATCTCAGCTTATGTATCTTTCTCTCAAGGCATGAAACTTGGAAGCCCTGAGTCAAGATATCAAAAACTAGGTGATCTTAAATCTGCAGAGGACAGACTACGATGAGCTCTCACAAGGTGGATGGAGATGCCAGAAGAGGCCAGTTGAATCCAGTGTCTGAGTCACAGTCACTAATATAAATGGAACAGGGTAAACTGTCTCTACTAAGCTCTGTCAAAATTGCAAACTCATGAGCAACATAGTCATTGCTTCAAAACACCAAGTTATGAGGTGGTTTGTTGAACAGCCATGGTAATTGGAACATATGGGAAAATGGTTACCTGGGAGAATGGTTGGAAGGACTTCAAAAGGCATTTGGTAGAGGATAGAGGGGATTGTGGAAAAAATGAATGGGACAAAGCCAAAGAAAATGCAAATTTGAATCAATAGAATGGTGAGCAATGGACCCTAAAAACTGGAGAACAGAGAAAGATTTATTTTACTGAAAGTTGGGACTGATCCTGAATCATCAACCTGAAAATGAAATTAGACAAAATTTTCCATTTCCTAAGCATTCAGTTAATCAGGATTTACCTATATTAGAGGCATTGTAAAACACTCAGGGGATGGGGCAGGCACTGTGTTACAATGGGTTAAAGCCCCAGCCTGCAGCTCCAGCATCCCATATGGGCGCCAGTCAGAGTCCCAGATGCTCCACTTCCTATCCAGCTACCTGCTAATGTGCCTGGGAAAGCAGCAGAGGATGGTCCAAGTGCGTGGGTCCCTTGACCCCACTGTAACTCTGCTTTTTCAACTAAATAAAATAAATCTTTAAAAGAAACACTCAGGGAAAATGTATTTTATGAAAAAGTACACATGGAATTTTAAAAACTGTAGCAAAATAAGCATCTTTTAATTCTGTTTTTCCACAAGCTTTTTGAGGTACCCTCATATATGGTCCCTTGATAACCTGAAAGACTTACTGCTATTTTCATATTGGGTGACATAGTTGTTGGCATTAGGAGAATCTAGAACACTGAATAAAGCATTTTAAAATCACATCTAATACAAGTTGATTACTTTTTGGTGTTTCTGTTGCCTCTCTGCACACCCATTCTTGGTTCCCTTTTACCTTAACCTTCTCCCAGCCTCTGTCTTAACTGTGGATTTTCTCTAGGCTCTGTGTGCTTTGTATCTTTCTGTTGACAGAGCATCCATTCTCTTTGCATGATTCACTCCAACTGCATGACTTTGGCTTTCAACTGCGTGATTCTGTCTCTCTAATCTCTAAATCAAGCCCAGTTCATTGCCTCAAGTTCTAGACCTCTGTATCCACCAGTATATTGGACGTTTCTATCTGATTTTTCCATTTCTCATATTTAATAGATGCCAAACTAATCTGGGCATTTCTCCTTCCAATCTTCTCTACTTTCTATTCTTCAGTGTTGCTAGATGACAGACACTTCCATCCCCCAAAAACCCAAAACAGAAACTTGGAGTTGCTTTTGATGTCTTCCTTTTCCTTAATCCTCATACCCAGCTGATCACAGTCATTCAAACTCTACAGGGGATTTCCAACAGATTATCTTTGCTCCTATACAGCCATTGTCCGTGCTGCTGAAAGTCATATATTTTGGTTGCAAACTAGACTTTCTCATTCACTGGCTTAAAACCTTCTAGAGCCCAGTAGGGCTGGCAGTATAAATTCCAAGATCCTTGTTCTGGACCCAAACCCCTCCAATTTGGATCTAGTCTCAGTTCTGGTGCCCCTCACCACTCCAATCTGCATTCTAGCTGTGCTAAAGAACATGTAAGAGGAGTTTGAAATAAGTGGACCAATCACTTGTGAGCCAGAGCACATGTTGTTTTCTCTTTTTTGCCACTCTCAGATCTTTCCCACATGAACCTCACCTCCACTTGGCCAAGCACAGGCTGTTTCAAGTGAACTTGGGGGCCTGTCACTCAGCCTTTCCAAACTCTCTTGGTTTTGCAACAGTTCAGGTCTAATAAGATCACCGATAACCACCTCCACCATGGAGCAAGGACTGGTTTAATTATTCATTGTAGAAGCTCTCAATAAAAGGTAATTGGTTCAATAAATAAACACTTCTAGATTTTTTGAACTTCATCTTGTTTTGAGGTTAAACTGCTAATAATTGAATGTTGATGTTCCCTGACATATTATGGTTCCAGTTGTGATTTTTTTGACTTGATGATAGAACAAAAGCAATATGCATTCAGTAGAAATTGTTCTTCAAATTGTGAATCTTGATCTTTCCCCAGAAGTACTGTTATGCACAATGATCTCCATTCCTGACACTGGGCAGTGGCCACACCACAGCCCCCAGCAGCCATGCAATTGGTAGGGGAAACTCCCCATGCTCTACAGCACTGTGTTCCTAAGCCTGCATGTTCACGTTAGGTGTACTCAATGGACTTCTGGCTTTTGATATTTTCAACTTCTGAAGAGTTTATCAAGATATAACCCCCATGGTAAGTTGAGGAACATCTATACAAAATATCCTGAGGCTTTTGCTGTTTGTTTCACTTCCTTTTGTCCTCCATACACCATTTGAATAATCGCATCAAAAACTTGCCTACAAGTGAGTGCTTTCCGGAGGTGTCGTGCCTGTCTGTATTTACTTGCTGCATCCAGAACATAGGGGAACTGCTGCTTTATGAACAGAAGTCAAAAAGAATCCCCAGCCTATTACACAGTATTTCCATCCTTTGTTAACTTCACCAACACGGCACCTGCATGAGGGACCAGTGCGTCTCAGCAACAGTGGCACCAGGGGAGTAAGATCCCCAAGGCCTTCCCATGAGTTCTCCCCACACACTCATTAGCTTGCACACTGTCAGGGAAATAGTACTATAAGTCTAAAATCAGTTTTATGAATAGGTGCCTACTTCTTTTTAAACTGCCAACCCTACTACTGCTTGGGATAACTTAATTCTTCAGTCATTTCTTCAACCATTCCCTGCAGGTACCCTGAGAAAGAATTACACCAAAACATTACTGTCAATTAATTTTATCATTGTAATTTCATATCTTACAGAGAAGCTTATGACAGTCAGCTAAAAAAAATGGCACCTATTAGGGGGTGGAAGTACATCTTGGAACACAGGAAACTTCAGAGAGGAGAAGAGATGAAGGGAAGGTAGGCAGATATCAAATATAAAGGCTGTACACTTGATAACACTGTTCAAGAAAAACTCTAATAAATCTACTTATATTTCTAGTGCAGCTTTGATTAGAATCCAAGAGTAGCCACATAAAGTTAGAAATAATAAATTCAGTAATGTTTCAGCATATAAAATAAACATAAAAAATCAGTTGCATTTCAGAATACTAATAAAAATTATCTGAAATGTGAATTAAGAAAGTCTCATTTGCACTATCTGCAAACAAAACAGCAAAAACAACAACAACAAAAACTATTAGGAACAGATTTAACCAAGGAGGTATAAGATATGTACACAGAAAACTAAGAAAAAAAAAAACATAAAAAAAATAAGTGGAAATATATCTTATGTCATTGATTGAACTAATTAATAGTGTTAAAATGTCTATACCACCCAAAGCAATTTGTAGATTCAATGCAATCCCTATCAAATTTCCAGAATTTTTCACAGAAGTAGAAAATAAAACTACCTTAAAATTCACATGCATCTACAAAGGATTCTGAAAAGCTAAAGCAATCATGAGCAAGAACAAAGCCAGAGACATTACACTACCTGATCTTAAAATAATATGAAATGATAGTAAATAAAACAACATGGCATTGGCCCTACTACAGACCAGAGGAATAGAATAGATAACACAGAAATAAATGCTTACAGATCAATTGCTCTTCACCAAAGGCACCAAGCATGCACAATGGGAAAAGATGTCATCATAGATAGTGCTACATAAACTGCATGTTCACACATAAAAGAATAAAGGTGGGGTAAAGCCCACCTGGCACAGTGGGTAAAGCCACTTGTGTGATGCCTGCATCCCATATGGGCTTTGGTTTAGTCCAGCTTTCTGCTAATGTGCCTGGGAAAGTGGTGGAAGATGCCCCAAGTGATTGAGCCCCTGAACTCATGTGGGAGACCCAGAAGAAGCTTCTGGCTTCAGCCCTGACCAGCCCTGCCCATTGCAACACATTTGGGGAGTGAACCAAAGTCGCGAAGATCTCTACCTCCCTCTCTCTGTAACTTTGCCTTTCAAGTAAATAAACAAATCTTTAAAAAAAAAAAAGGCAAACCTTTATATCACATTATATACAACAGTTAACTCAAAAATAGATCAAGGAGTTAGATTTAAAAACTGAAACTGTAGAAGTACTAGAAGAAAACATAAATAAAAATAACGTTGTTGGCCTGGGCATTGATTTTTTGATGGTATTTGTCCCCAAAAGTAAAAATCGACGAGTATGACTGAGTGAAACTAGCTGACTTTTGCCCCGTGACTGAAATGGTTATCACAGTGAAGACTTTAAAAAGACAAAAATGCAGCAAATGTTGACAAGGATGGAGAGAAAAGGGGAACCCTGGTATGCTGTTGAAGGGAAAGTAAATTGGAATAATCACTGTGGAATATAATATGGAAGTTAATCAGAAATTTAAAGTAGAGCTTCCATATTATCCTGAAGTCCTGCATTGGCATATATGAATGCATCTCACTTTGACACAAATAAATGAAATCACTATGCCTCAGTGATACTTATGCTTTGCTTGTATACTGCAACATAATTGTAAAAATACTGATCCCACTTAAATATCAATGAGTGTACTCATGTATATCCCATTTTTATATGTGGTCCACATTTTCTTAACCATATAAATATATTTATTATGTAAACATAAAAAAAAAACTATCCTTGACCTTCAAAGCCTTGGAAAAAAATGAACTTAATACCAAATGATTTATGAGATATGATTCTTAGAGGGAAAAATATTTCAGTTTTCTGTATTCCCTCTGAGAAAGAATTCTGGGGAAGAAAACCAGAAAAAAAATCAAAAAGAATTTCTTCTATCAATAAAATTAAACTTAGAAGTCTGGTCTTGAAGAAAACAGAAGTCAGCATTTTTCTCCGGTTCTGGTACTGCCTTCTACAGTCCACTTAAAATCCTTCAGTGGCTCTCTGTGGCTTCATAATGACTCTATGTGTTGAATACGTGGGTCTGGTGTATGCTGTCTTATTAACAGCTTTCATATGCCTAGTCTGCATTCCTTTGGTCAGCCTGTATTTAGTAATATTTCAGCTGTTTGCACCCCAGATTTTCTATTTTGGGCTGCTACAATACTTCCTTGGAGCTTCTGTAATAAAAATGTGTTGCTGACAGATAAGAAAGGCAGTTTTACACAACACAGTACAAAGGCATAGAGAAAACCAGGCTGGTTCATGTTCTAGCTCCATCATCCTCTGATTCTGGACTATTGGGCAAGCATCTGAAGTGTTCTGTGTGTTGATTTCCTAACCTGCAGAGCATGGAGAGCAGACTTCACTTTACAGTTTAGCTGTGAGGATAACGTAGATGACTTAAAGAACTCAACGGAATCTCAGAGACACCAGGCCTTTGATGAAGCAGCCTTTTATTATCAGGTATCAGCACTGTCCTATTGGCAAGTGACTCATGATTGTTCTACCTTTTGGTTCATTCTCCAAACATAAGGTATAAATATGCCAACAGACATGAGAAGTAGTAGGGAATATTTTCTGCTGTTCCTAGCCAGCTTTGAAGTATTTAAGTCATTCTCTTCAAAGTATTTGGATATCAGAACACTGACCTAGGATAACTAGTTTTGGCTTTTCAAATGTAGTTGATACACACTTGGAGAGTCAGAATATTTCTTAACAATTACCTAGTCCAATTATCCCTCTAAATTATTTGGCAGGCTCACATCTTTTCAGAGATAAATGAGTAGATGTCCTACGTATTCACAGCACCTTATAAAACAACAAATGAATGTGTGAATGTCATGTTTCCTTTCTTTCCAAGTCAAGTCTGCTCCCCCATCCCACCAAGATAATGGGAAATCCAATCTTATTCATTAGTAGGGCTTTCTGTTAGGGTTGTACAATGAGTCTAGGTGGTGGTGGGTCTTAAAACCAAGCAGAGTATTTTTGGAATGCCATATGGCCTTCAGTCTATTCTAGTCACCACTGAATTAACCACTCACTACCAAACCAAGTGTGGTTCTTTTACTTTTGACAATTCTGCCACTTCCATGTCACACATGGACACATGGTGGACACTGGCAGGAAGCTGGAGTCAGAGCTGGAGCTGGGAACTGAACCCAGGCACTTTGATGTGGGATGTGAATATCCATCAGCACTTTAACAGTAATGCCAAATACTCATTCCCAAGGCTTTTAGAAACAAAAGTCAGGAAAAGGGTTGTTCTCAGATCTTTCTGCTTTCTGCTGACAGCAAAAACCACCTCTAGGCCTAGGGAACACAAGGTCTAGGTTACTCATTTTTGGAAATTAAGATTTCAGGGAATAGGTGTTTGGCCCAGTGGTTAAGATATGGCTTTGGATGCCCACATAACACATCGCATGTCCTGGATCTACTCCTTATTCCTACTAGTTTAGTGCACCTTTGGAGGCAGCAGGTGATGGTGGCTCAATAGCTTGGGTCCCTGCCATCCAATGAGAGAATCAGATGGAGTTTCCAGGATCCTGGCTGTGGCTTGGGTCAGCACCAAATATCGTGGGCATTTGGGGGAGCGAACCAGTGGATGGAAGATCATTTTCTGTCTGTCTCTCTATAGCCCTCTCTCTCTGCCTTCCAAATAAATAAAAATTAAATAAATAAACTTTTAAAAGATTTCAAAAAAGGCAGAAAATAAACAAAAATGCCCCTTTTCTGCTTTTATAATATATATATATGTATGTATAGCAAGAAAAATAAAATACAAGTTCAAACACGCCGAGTAGACTCTCCATTCACATACTGATCAATAGGTCGCAGCTCTTGGCCACAGGGCGTTCCCCAGTCTGACAGTGAAAGACAGAACACAGCAGCTGGGAGGTAAACAAGTTGTAGGTGTGCTGGCAGAGGTAGAGGAAAGAAATAACTTACAGCTGATTTCAATAAGCAGGGAGGGCGAAATCAGTTTTCATATGCAGAGGTGAGAATGTGAAAGAACAGGTTTCTTGAGCAGTGACACAGTCTAGTCTTTTTTTTTTTTTCCTCCTAATAGCAGTGTTAGGAAGGACCGGAGGCTTGCAGCCCAAATAAACAGTAGTGGTGGTAATGAGAAGGTGAGATCAATCCTTGGTGGAATCACAGAGAGACAGATGCCAACAGGTCTCGTGTGGGAACAGGAGGGCCAACTGGAAAGCAAATAATTCCTGGACTTGGACCCAAGTCTCCTGAGAAAGGGGCACCACAGAGAGGGGAAGCCTAGCAGGAGACATGGTTGTGAGTGGGGGGTGGTGGGAGAGGGAATGAGAAATGTAAAGCTGACCTCAGCGGGAGTTGGTCTGAGCTGGAGCAGCCACTTACCTCACTGGAAAGGGAGTTGTGTGGTTTGAGAGGTTAGGGATGTGGCTGTTCTTGTTTAGATTAATTTTTCAAAAGACATCAAGCTAGGTCGTGAGCTTCTTTTTTATTATCTGTTTATTTCTACTCGAAAGGCAGAGAGTGAGAGCGAGAAGGAGCGAGAAAGAGAGTAAGCTTACATCTTCTGGTTCGCCCACCAAATGCCTGCAACAGCCGGGGCTGTGTCAGGCTCAAACCAGCAGCCCGGACTCAATCTGGGTCTCCCACGTGGGTGGCAGGGACCCAAGAACTTGAGACATCACCTCCTGCCTCCCAGGATGTGCATTAGCAGGAAGCCAGGAATCTGGAATTGGAAACAGCTAGGATTCAAACCCAGACACTCAGTATGGGAGGAGGGCATTCCAAGCAGGTTTTTTTTTGTTTGTTTTTTGTTGTTGTTGTTTTTGTTTTTTTTGACAGGCATAGTTAGTGAGAGAGAGAGACAGAGAGAAAGGTCTTCCTTTTTCCGTTGGTTCACTCCCCAAGTGGCCACCACAGCCAGCGCTGTGCCAATCCAAAGCCAGGATCCAGGTGCTTCCTCCTGGTCTCCCATGCAGGTGCAGGGCCCAAGCACCTGGGCCATCCTCCACTGCCCTCCCGGGCCACAGCAGAGAGCTGGACTGGAAGAGGAGCAACTAGGACAGACTCCGGCACCCTGAATGGGACTAGAACCCGGTGTGCCGGCGCCGCAAGCAGAGAATTAGCCTAGTGAGCCACAGCGCCTGCCATCCAAGCAGCGTCTTAACCATTGTACCAAGTGCCTACCTGTGAGCTTCTTAAGGTAAGCTTGGTACTGCCAGATAAATTTTGAAGGAAATAACACTTGAGGCCAGGAATGTCACCAAGAAATAGGAGAGAAACAGGAAGAAGGAAAACAAGTTAGAGAGGTAACAGAACAGAGAAGAAAAGATCCTGGAAGGAAAAGGGGGGTTCGTGGGACCAGCCAAGGAGTGGTCAGAGACATTCCTCAGATGATGAGATATGGCAGTTAAGCAATGGGCCAAAAATAAGACAGATTGTGACATTTAGGAGACCCCTGGAGACCTGGTGTGGGGCATCATGGGTAAAGCAGATGGGGCAGAATCCCCAGAAAGGACCAAGGCGTAACGGAATTACATTAGTTGGCAGCACTCAGTCAGGTGGGGGGTAACCAAGGAGTCGCGTCGGCCCCTCTTGGTACTGTTGTGCACATACCGAGTCCCTCAATAAGGACACAGTTCTGGGGTTCTACTGGCTCCAGTTCTTGAACTGCACCAAAGCTGTTTCTGTGGAAGACAGAAAGAAACACAGAGGTGAAGGCACAGCCCCCAAATCCATGTCTAAGTAACTGTGACCTTTAATCACCTTCCTATTGGCTAACTCTTTTTATCTGTAATTAACAGACATCTTGTTTTACTTATATTAACTTACATAATGTGGTGATATGTGGGCAGTGTGCCTGTGTTGAGTAATTTCACTGTGATTACTGAAAAACTACAACAGGATTACACAGGAAAAATACTACATTTTTAAAAGCATGAGTAACTGAATAATATTAATTTAAATGCACAGAATATCATCTAATTTTCTAAAGTTTTATCTATTATAAAGTTGCACTTGCTCCATTAATCTATGGTTTTGAATCTGACTCTCTTACCCAAACTGCCTTCCCAAAACTCAGTAGAGTCTCCTAATAGCTTAACTCCATAGCTTTTGCTTCAACATTATTATTTTTTAAATCGTAGGCTAAGTTCCTTTGCAAAAATGTAAATTCATAAAACTGACCACAATTGGCCAAATCATTGTTCAACACATTATTCTGGTTTCTGCAGTGAAACATTCTTCTAAGTATCAAGGATAATTTTAAATTTCTCTTACGCTACCTTCAGGAACTCCGCACTGAGACTTTTACAGCCAGTTATCAAAGGTCCTTAGGTCTACTTTATTGATGTTATTTTATGATTGCCTCCCTCAGTTGTCCTCGGAGCGAATGTAACAAAAGCACTTGGAAGCTGATGCAGGAAGTGTTCACAGAAGGCTTTGGACCCCTCCAAGGAACCGGCTTTGACACCAACACAGGAACCCAGCGAGGAATGGCAGCGCGCACAGGCGCTGGAGCCCAGGACGCCGGGCACCACCTCACGGTTCCCCATTCCAGAGGGCGGTGCCTTCCTAACACATTCCCCATGGTTATCACCCCCCGATCTTCCATTCCAGTTCCCATCCCCACCTGCAGGTTCCTGCTCATCACCCCGCTCCCCGGCCAGCTCCCCGGATCTGCAGCGGGTTCTAACCCGCGCGTCTACACGGGCCCCGGGGAAAGTCGGAGGCGGTCACGAACAGCCCCCTGATATCCTGGCCCCAGCTCCCAAGTCCTGCGCTTCGCACGGACTTCGTCTGTCCACAAGCAACACGTCAAGATGTGAGAGCAACGTGGACAGGGGCGCACGACCCCCGCAGAGCAGACGTGGGCATCCCCGCCCCACTCTTTCGGAAAGCAGGCGGGCAGCTCCTGTCACAGCAGGGGTTCCCAGGGGAGAGTCTGCAGGCTGGGGCACAGGAGTGAGGTGCGCAAGCTGCTCGCCCTATCCTGGAGGAGGAGAGAGAGCCGAGGGTGCCCCACCAAGATGCCAACTCACCTAAACGCCAGCAACCTCTCCCCGACGAAGGCGAGGCTGGCCCCCAGCAGGGTCAGCAGCAGGAGCTTCGCCATGGTCCCGGCGAGCCAGGTGGCGACGGGCAGGCTCGAGGCGCTCGGAGGGAGCGGCCCGCAGCTCCGGCACCGCCCTCGGCCCGCCCGCGGGCGCCTCCTCTCCTGGGCGCCCGCGCTCCCAGAAGCCGCGGCGGGGCGGCCAGCTCTCCGCCCTCTCCCGCCGCCCGGGTTCGCGGCCTCCTGGACGCACCCGCGTCTGAGCGCACCTGGACGCGTGAAGTTCAAGGCGAACTAGATGCGCCGGCTGCTTCTTCCTCCAGGCTCAAGTTTCAGTCTCCTTCGGGTCTTGTTCCCTAGGCGGCGGCGGCTCTGTCAAGAGCTCACCTGCGGGCGCAGGGGTGGAGGAAGCGGGCTCCAACCACCCAGAGAATTGCACCCAGCTCCTCCAAGGATCTGAGCCGGAGGCCCCAGAGCTGGAGTTCAGGAACTCTGGCAGGGTCTGAGCCCTGAGATGAGACGAGAACTGCTCCGAGCCCCTGGGGGGGGGGGGGGGGGGGAGGGATAAGGGTCGCGAAGAGCTGTAACTCCTTCCCCAAGGCGTGGGGCGCAGGACCGGGTCCCCAGAACGCTGCACTACCCGGAGTGCGGAACGTGGTGGGTGTCGCGTTCAGGCTGTTGAGGAGGTGGATTGATGGGTGTCAGTGGTTGCCCCAGTAGTAAACAGGACTGGTGGAGAAGAGCAGGGTGGGGCACAGAAAGGTGTCTTCCTCGCCAGCTGGGGCTTTCAAAACGCCCTCCTGTCCTCCTTCTGGCAGGTTCTCACTTCCAGGCGAGGAGTGCACGTCCCCCTTTTCCTGATGAAGACCAGGTTGGACGGGAGGAAAGATAAGATGGGGGTAAGACTTGAAGAGTTTGGACAAAGGGGCATCTTTAAGCATGGCTTATTTTTGTTTCCCAGCAGTAAGAAGTGACCCCATTAATTGCAACTGAGTAAATATTGGGTGAGAAATCAAGATTTTTCCAGACTTGGGGATATTAAGAAAAAGTGGTCCGTGACGTATGGGATGCAAAATGATAGGAGGAATACATAATTATGGAATGAGTAATGAAGCGATTTCCATGTGCTTACATGTTAAATCTTTTAGTTCTAAAAACAGCATTTGAAGTGAGCAACATTAACTCACCTTTATAGATGTGAAAATTGAGCACAGAGTGGTTAGGTGACTTATTCCAGGTCACACAGCTCAGAAATGTCAGCGTCAGATGGTCCGACTCCAAAGTCTGTGTCCTTAAGCATTTTGCCTCTGTTGAAGATACAGAAGAAGGGCTGCACTAACAGAATCCTGTAGCATCCAGCCTTGTACAGATAAGACGGTTCTTTTTAAGATGACAAGTTTTAAAAGGTGCAAGCAGAGGAGGAACTGATTGTTGTATCAAGGACTTAGTGGGAGGAGAGTTTGCAGTTGGGGACTGTGGTGGTGCGGAGGGTTTGAGATTCAGGGTGCCTGATTTTGGATCCAGTCTGGAATGTTCTCAACTTTCTTAAGCTACAGATTCCTCTTATGTGAGACAGCATGTGTCTCTTGTGTGTCAAGCATATAACGATTAAATCTGAACCTCCAGTTGAGATTGTAGGCTCCTTTGGGGTAAAGACCCCATCCCATTGATGACTGTGTCTTCCAGTGACGTCCATAGGACTTTGTACTTAATAGTGGCTCAATAAATGTTAAGATAGTTGGATGCCAACTATGGACTTGGGAGAAAGAAAAATAGGAAGAATGGAAAGAAATGGAATGGATGTATGATGCAGTAGGAGTAATTGTATTATAAGCTAAGCATTTCTTACAAGCATACCTTCTCACATTGTGGATTGGTAAAACCATTGTTTAAGCAAGTGCAGTCCCATTTAGAGTAAGAATAACCACAAGGAGGCCAGCAACCTCATACCCCCTGGCTCTGGGCCACTGTTGGTTGTTGTGTCCACATGGTTGACCCAAGAAGATTCTTCTCTTTGGTTCAAGGAGAATTGAATCCTCCCCTCAGAACTGTGTCTGAGACCAGCGCTTTCTGTCATGTGTTGTTGAAGTGTCTCTAAGGACAGAATGAGTTTTCAGAACAACAGATCATAGTATGATAAACATTTATGTGTAACAGACTTGGGTTTGAGTTTTGAGCTGGCTGTATCAATCATCTGGCACCAAAGTTCTATGTACAGGGACTTACATAGCCTCATTGAGATCTAATCTTCGAAAGTAATGTCAACAAGCGAAGAAACTATGGCAATAGGCTCAGTTGGCCTGGTCAACAGACCATGGAATACATCAGTGTCATTAGAGGGGGTTTGTTGTGAGTGAAAGAGCAGGACAAATGAATTCCTAATTTCCAGTTCCATTAGAAATCACCTATCACCCCTGGGCCATTATTTTCTTGGGGGCTATTCAAAGAGCTATTAGGAACCCAGTAAAGTAGAATATGGCTGAGCAAAGGTAGTACCATATGTCTACTTAGTCCAACAAAATGATAATCAAAATTTCTCTCAGGGATATGGAATATACATAAGGTATAGTCTTACTGTATAAAATGCAAGGGAATTTCATATTAAACACAAGTGTGTAGATATGTAAAACAAGACACACACTGACGAGTAGTCACTTCTACAGCAGAAGATTGGGGTCATGGAGAGTGGGGTGGTCAGTGAGTGTAGAAGAAGCCACCTATGATGTTTAGAATTTTTAAACCATGTGTCTTGCTCCCATGTATAATTATAAAATGTTCTATGCAAAAAGGTCTTATCAGTAAATTTTGTACAGAAAGAGGTCATGATGGGGGAGAGCAAAACATCAAAAGGTGTGATTGTGTCTGAAAAAGCTGTTCTGCAAGAAGAGCTTATGAAATAGAGCGGTCGGAGTCATGATCCCAAGCCACAGGGCCCAGTGTCTGCAACCTGGGTACAAACAACTGTGTGCCATTGATATGTGTCTTGTGCTGCCTGGTGGAGAAAACAGGCTAGGTGACCACAGATTTGTGTTGTTGCATGAGTATGATATACAGGGTACTTCACACAGTTCATGGAAAATGGAATTAAAAGATAAATTCATTCAGTGCAAAAAATGTTCAGAATTCCTGCGTAGGGTTTCCATAATACATGTGTTCTATGAACTTTTGGATGGCCTCTTGTATACATGGATCTCAAAATTTGGGGCACCAAAACAAACTCATCTTTTAATTCCATTTCCCATGAACTTTGTGAAGCCCTTTGGTACATGAATTTAAGTTTACTGTCCAGTTTTGCTCTGAGGATACATATAATATTGGAGTTTCATGGTGAATGTCTGACACAGTTTTCATTACTTCCTGCAACCTCTGCAGAAGGTCTGACTCCACTCAGAACTTGCAGTGCAGCCCACTATGTGCTGGGGGTCACCTGTGCTGCTATCCTGTATTACGGCTAAGTAAGTGTACTTAGCAGGAGGGAGCAACAGGGCCTAGCCAGTCTCATGTTCACAATTTAGGTGCGACATGAATGGGGGGAGTTTCAAGGGGTCATCTTTTGCCAGGAAGGATCCTTCTGGACTGATCCCCCACTTCGGTTCATCAGAAAACCCTTCATCAGTATCCTGTAGCCCTTCAGTGTCTCTGAGTTGAATTATACCTCAAAGCAGACCCAACACATTAAGTTACTTAACTCAACATGAGTTTACCAGATTGTGTGGCCAAGATGAATGAGGAAGGCCGAAGAAAGGTGGTGAGGCCCACAGAAGGGGAGCAGAGCACCAATGCCTCAGAACAGCAGTGCGATCGGTGCAGTGTGACTAGAGCAGAGGCTGCTGAATTGTGGCAGGCGTGAGAGTTTGTGAAAACAGACGGCCGGCCCTACTCCCAGAGTTTCTCGATTTGCTAGATCTGGGGTGGGGCTTGAGGGCTTTCACAAGGTCACCGGTGAAAACAAGTCTGCTGGTCCAAGGACCACAGTTTGAGAACCACTGCGGACAAAAGAGTCAGTGAAGAGGATAGCGAAAACTGAATCTAGAGAGGAAGCCAGGGCTTGTAGACCAAGACATCTAAATTATACCCTACAGGGCACCGGGAACTCACTGGAAGTGATGTGACTCAGTAGCTGTTTTAGAAATGACACTGGACAAAGATGAGGATGGGTTATGGAGGGGTGGAGGGCCTGCCTATCCTACAGCCTGGGACATGGCTGGAGTCCTGTCTTAGGTTAGTCTGGGTGAGACATGTGTTGGTGATCGGTGAAGCTCTGGGATCAAACTGTGTGGACCTGAGAAGTATTTATGTGGGAGGACTGCGGATAGTGACAGCTACATACAGGCGGAGGCATGGTGAAGGAGACACGGAAAGAAGGGAGGTGTGTGGCCTTGGAGACCGACCCTGGTAGAGAGGGCTAGATGCATGGTCTAGGAGACCACAGAGGACGGATATAAAGAGAAAAACAAGGAGTCTGTTTAAACTGGGACTTCCGTTTGATACTACAGGAGACATTGTTGAGTTTTCTTCCAAGTAGAGGGACAAAGTCACGTTTGTTATGATAATTTTCAGGCTCTGAGTCAAGTACGTGCAATACATTTATTTATTGCTACGTTAGCCCTTTCTTAAGAAAAGTCAGAGTGATATTTCCTGCACTCAGTACTCCATGTGATAGGGGCAGGTGAGTTGCATGATTTTGAAACTTTAAAAATGTCCGTAAAGCCTTCTGCCCCGTGAGAAGTGTCATTTTCTTGTGCTTTCAAATCCCATCTGGAATTACACAACTAAACATTTATACAAAACTCCCCAACTCTCTGAAAGTGGAATAAAATGTGTAACAACAAAGTTAGAGTTAAAACACATTGGAAGAAAAATTTTTGAAAGGAGGATCAGAAAGCTAAGAAGGAACTACTGGATTTCTCCCAACCATCCTTCTCTCATACCCAGAAACCATTTTGTAGAAAGCTGTGGAGTAATGAAAACTACAAGTAGCCAACGCGAGGTGGGAGTGGGTGGTGTGGTGGAGGTGGTGTGACTGCACTGCTTTGTCCAGGGGACACTCACTCCTCTGTAGGCT